CCACCCTACTTTCCAAGGAAATGCCATATCTCTCTCAGTGAACAGTAGCATCTTTGTGCAGTTTGCAGGCTGTGCCATTGACTCTTTGGCATGATGGTGTATTGAAGACAAGGTAGGAGAGCAAGACAGGGAATGAGTGGAGACAGGCAAGGAGGAAAGGTGGCAGGAAAAGTCTCAGGAGGAAGAGGATGACCATCGATAGCTGTGAGCTCTCCCAGAGCCTGCCTGCCTTTGACACTTGGTTCAGTCACTTACTACCGGAGTGGCCTTGACAAGTTCCTCCTCTCTCCCTCCTAAGATGTTAAGAGTACCTACCTCAGTGGGATTATTTTGAGGATTCAGTGACTTCCCCCACAGGAAAACACTTCACATGGTATGGGAACATAGTCCACTCTCAATCCATCTTGGTTACCATCATTATTTTTTATTATTGATCTTTACATCCTCAGTGTTGGCAGAATTTCTTGTGCTTAACAAATATTTGTTCAGATCAGAGAAGTGGAAAAAATTGTCATCTGCTTATTCAAGCCATGTTTTTCTGTGATATTCTGATCCTAGTTGCACATACAGAAATACATGTCTAAAACAGCACCTCCATTCTGGTCTACAGCAGGATGAAGTTCACTGTGATCTCAGATAAGCTTGGCTAAAATAGGACGTGAGTGGAGATAGTCACACTTCAGTGAAGAAAGAGAATCCCCTGTGTAATGTCTCCAGGAGATTCAACCTCAATATTCTGCATCGTAGGGGTAGTCCTCCAAATGAGAGGATCTGCAGAAACAAGAAAAGAGAGAAACTGTTCCATCAAAGCAAAAACTCTGGTTGAGAAGGCGTTCTTCTTTGGTGGACTCTGTCATATCTGCGCTCTCTCAGCCTCCTTGCAAGAATATAAGAAGGGTGCTCACACCTTGACCTTCCCTCAAACTGATACGAGGGCTTTGCTAGGAAGGAGGACAGACAGTGACCAGGGCACGATAAATAAAAACTCGGAATGACAACTCATGGTTAGCCTGGTGTCAGGTGAGGCAACTGACAAGTCTTGTCCCAATCCACTGTCACAACATCATGAGCTAGGAAACAACACCAGAATTGACAGCTTGGGGATTGTTATGAGTATTAAATGAGGTAATAGCACTGGCAAAGGGCTCAGGACCCTGGCACATTCTCAGCGAAGGTTCAATGGATATTAGCTGCTATTCATATTATCATCCTACTTTATAGGTAAAGAAATCAACTAAGAAAAACTAGGAAATTTACCCAACGTCACACAGCTAAGAAACCGGGGTTAGTGTTGGATCTGAGGCCAGGTGCACTTACTCCTGAGCCACCAACCCATTGCCTCCACTGGATATGATGTTCATTGGAAGGTCAGCCGTTCAGTTTAGGGGAGAGTCCCATTTTATGTTCACCCTGCCTTTTTACACTAAGCAGCTGCTACTTTGTTAAGCACTGATAAAAATAAGCCATTATAAGATGAGGAAAGGCTTCTGTGATACTAAAGGTGGGCAGGATAGATATGGAATATCATGGCCCGCAAGCTGTGCTTGAGATACTGAAACCTTTTTTAAAAGCTGAAAAATCATTTTGGCTATAGAAACATTGGAAGAAATTCAAATTGGCATTGAATTACAGACCTCGAAGTAATAAATGCCAGACAAATCTCTTTGATATATTTAATTAGATACATTAATCAGAAAGTATTGATTGTAAAGAGATAATTTAGGATTCCCACCTAGCCAGAGTTAAAACTTTCTTTCAACCACTTATCTGACATTTAAAGTAGAGTTACCACCACCTCCTTTAAGAGGCATTTGGAGATTATTTAATCCAGCCTCCCCGGCCTTCTTCCTTGAATGCTCTAAACACAATCCCACCTCAGGGCCTTGGCACCTGCTGTTATCAATGCCAAGAATGCTCTTCCCCCAAATATGCATATGGCATATCCCTCACAGCAAAGCCTCCCTTGACCCACCCCATATAAAGGATCCGTCCCACTACCACCCACCACTTCCTATCCACTTTGCCCTACTTTATTTTTCTGTCTAGCATTTGTTACTGTCTGTCACATGTATTTTGAGTTGATTTATTTCTGTTCTGTCTTCTTCCCTCCCTCCCTAAGCACGTGGAGGCAGCAGCTTTGCATAGTATGATAAACCAAGCACCTAGAAAATGCCTGGCACATAGAGGACCACTAGATATTTATTGAATGTAGGAATAAATGAATGCTCACCTTCTGCCTATTGACAACACACCTTCTGTTACAATTCTAGCTCTACATCCAGAAGTTCAGACAATGAGCAGCAATTAGAGATGTGTCTCTCACAGTGATTCCCAGGTACCCCAATTTTTACTTACAAAACTGCCCCAAAATTGTATTTGAAGACACAAGTAGTCCCAGCAGCCTTCTAGTCCTTTCAGCTAACTCTCTACCAGTTTAGAAAATCTCCTGGCAATGCTCCTAGTTAACTCCATGCAACTTACTGCAACCCGGTGCAGGCCCTCCAGTTTCTGTTGAAGCTGAGGATGGTTGCCATCTCCTCATCACTCAATTTAAAGTCAAAGACCTGGAAAGATAGGAATTCCAGTACATCATCAGTAAGGCCGTTACTGCTGGGACTGGACACTGTCAGCCATTCTAGCAGGGAGTTCTAGCAGCACAAACTGGTCACAGGTGTTTTTCCCATTATGTCCACGGGATACAAATTTTTCTCTAAATTAGGTCCTACACAAAGACCGCAGTATTTGTAGTGCTCAGTGTTCCGGGGGAGGGAGACCAGGCTCACAGGCACTAAGCCCCAGGTGTGCACAGGCCCTGTGCTCCATGATGCACCCTTCTAGAAGACAGTTCTCCAAGGACAGTTCACACCTCCTCTGCTGCCACAAGATGAGCAGGGAGGCCAGGACAGTCTGCTCATGTGGTGGCCCAGGGCTTAGCTGCTCAGAGGCAACTGAGAGTCTTCTCAGTGGTGTGAGGCACAGCTGTGCTCACACCTGACAGGGTTTCAGCAGGCACTGTCCCCAGCATGTCCTAAGCCCATGGGTCATTCATCTCAGGTATATTGAGCCTAGCACCCTAGACTGGAAAATGATAGGGTGGTGGGAACGGAGGGGGCCAAAGACAGTGCAGGAATGAGGTGAGAATCCTGGTGAGAGGGTCTGCCCCTGCCCCACCCCACAGAGAAGTACCAGGGCCGACCAGCCGGGATCTTACCTGAATGTTCTCAACAATGCGTGCCGGTGTCACAGACTTGGGGATCACAATCACATTCCTCTGGATATGGAAATGGATCAGAACCTGTGCGGAAAGGGGACATCATGTTTCCACTCAGCTACAAGGACCCCTCCTTTTATGGTAAGGAAGAATAAAACATTTTCGCAGCTCACTGTGGCTTCAGGTACAATCGCTGATGCTGACTGAGGCCTTTGCAGCTATTAGATTTGTGCCAGCCCCCCGCCTCATTCTCTCCCTTCACCTTAGGGACAACTCTGTGATCTTCATTTTTTAGGAATAAAGAAAGCAGTTTGGGTCGTAAGGCTGATCAGAGGTAGAGTTGGCATCTGCACCTATATCCCTAGACTCCAAAGCCATGCTTTGCGACTTGGCTGTAGGGCTTAACAGGAAGCTGTGAGGCAGAAGCTATCTTTGTTTCAGTGACAGCTCTTGTGTTTCCTGGAGGTTCCAACAGACTTTGAAGGAAACACTATAGATGGCTTCAGCTCCTGTGTTCTTCCGCTTTAAGGAGTTAGTTGAGGACAACACAAGAAATGAAACATGAGACTGGAAAAAAGAGTTGTTGGATAACAAGAAAAATAAAAATATGGCACCTGGGCTGTGGTTTTCTTATGCTTTGCAGCAATCTCCTTAATCTTGGGATCCTCCAGCAGGGAAGGGTCCTCTGGCTTGGCCCTAGAGGCAGAAAGATGCTGATGTGAACAATCACCATGGCTACCATGTACACATGGACACCACTCCAATGAGGGTCTCAACACTGATCATCAGAGCCTCAGAGCCTCTCCATGTGGGAGACAGGCAGGAGGACCTGGAAGCTTGGGTCCTTCCCCCGGGCTCTGAAGCCTCAGCGTTTTGCAAAGACTGGTTCATCCTTGCGTGGCTGAACTGGAAATATTCCCAGAGGGTCAAACACGTCGCCCATGTTTTTGTTGTTGCTGTTGTTGTTGCTTTTCAATTCCCATTTGTTCCCACCGTCTTCCCATTTGGTTGTACCAAATGCATTACCTTACACACGTTTTTCTTTCCAGTGACTTATGGTCTCATACCAATATTTACCAAATATAAAATAATGTTTTAAAGATTATCAAGAGAAGGATCCACTGCTTGGAAGCCTCACCAAGGTCTATCTGGAGAGCCCAGGGGGCTGTGGGCTGTAACGGTGATGCCCTTGGAGTGGCAGTACTGGATCAGTTTCTCCTGCGTGAGGTACGGGTGACACTCAACCTACAACAGCAAACAATCCTCATCACGGGGAAAGCTGGCTGGCTTTTTGAGTTGTTCTTAGGGAGTTCTACACAGACACCCAAAGACCACCAAGCAAAGGCCAAACATTTACCCACCGAGATTCTTGCTAAAAAATCCATGAGATCAGCCTCACACCTCCCACAAGTGTCCTGATCACTGACTCCTGAGATGACACTCAGGGCATAGATAGCACTGAACATTCCTCCCAATGTTTAAGAAGTAATAGGGCAAGACCTTTATTTACCCTTATACTAAACAGAATTTACCTGGTTAGTCACTGGTTTATATTTCAGTCCAGGTTTGTTCAAGAGCCTCTCAATCTGGAAGTGGTTGAAATTGGAGATGCCAAGGGCTTTCACCAGCCCCTCATCCACCAGCTCCTCCATGGCCTGTCATAGAAAGGAAAACCTTTTGGGCAGCCCCAGAGGGACTACAGGGACCCTGGCTTCCCTTAGTCCTCCCTGGGTCAGAGATTGCTAAAGGATCCAGCACAACAGGGTTAGCCGAGGCATTCACAGGAAATTTCAGTCCAGGACCTGCGTGCCCATCAGTGAATGTTCCAGTCCTACTGCCCCTCCTCAGCCCAAGAAAAACTAGGAGTAACAGGTAAAGATTTTATATTCTTGCCACTCTCACCTTACACATAAAGAAACACACTCAAAATTATACTTCTGTACACAGGGGAAATATGAAAGTTTTGTAATGCAAAAAATAAAAAAATAAAAAATGAACATTTGCAAACTTATGAGATGATTTTATTTTTAATGAATCCAAATGACAGTGGGTAGCTACTGCTGTGTGTGCATTGTACACCCAAACCTGGGCAAGCTGTGTTAGTCAGGAAGAGGCTTCAGCATGTGGAAAAGCCTCACTTGTGGGTCCTGAGTCACTTTCTCCCACACCAACCATGCTTGGGTTTGCAGGAAGGTCATGCATATAGATTATGCCCTGGCAGGGGCACCTGGGCAAGGGGTTGTGTGGGGCTGAAACCTGACCCACTGTCTGCATATCCAGCCATGCTTCCCAGTACAGAAACTACAGGGACCCCCAAGGAAGGGAATCTTTGTATAACTTTTAGCCTATATCGGGCATTTTCCAAACTTGCCCAAAGATATCATATATGTTAGCAGCAGCCTCCAATGCAGCATGTATTTATTAGCCATCTATTACATGTTCCAGAAGTTGTCAGGATATAAAAGTATATGATGTGCTTCCTTCTTCTGGGATTCTTATAGTCCAGTTAAAGTGCTAGGATTCCCTTCTATGGAGCCATCAACCATGACCATGAGGCTGCCTCAGATAACATGACCATGGCATAGACAGAGTCAGAAAGGGCAGAGAAGGAAGAGATTCACACAGCCTGCAGCTGTCAGGGCAGACCTTCAGGTAGAGTTTAAAGTGAGCCTAAAAACAAAAAACAAACAAACAAACAAAAACAGAGAGAGAG